CCACTGCCATCCACAGGTTCAGGCCGCTGGGCTGGGGTCCCCAGCTCCTCCTCTTCCTCCAGCCTGGTCCCCGTATCTTCAGACTCCAGCAGAGGCTGCACCTCCTCTACGGTGTCTGTGGTTCCCTCCCCAGCCCTGGAGCCTCTGTGCAGCTGCTCCTCCCTGCGGCCTGCATGACCTACCCACAGAGCAGCAAGCCCTAGGCCACATGCTGAGAGCCAGACCCCTCCCTCAACCGCCTCTGCCGCAATACAAGTCAGTACCCACCCTCATCCAGGGACCTACGGTATGCAACAAGAGTGACCACTCAAACCCATGACCCTCAGAGCTAGGCTAAGCCACACACCAATGGAAATCTCAAAGCTGATGGGCTTCGAGGCTACAGCAGGATCAATCATGGTGGCCTCGAAGAGCACGCAGAAAAGCAGGAAATCTTCACAGGGTGCAAGGGCATTCTGCGAAAGGGAATCACACAGGGCTCTCCCAGACCCCAGGGAGAAGCCTGGACTATCCTTGGCCACAACACCCAGAGAAAGTCATTGTAACCAAAACCCAGAGATCACCGCAGGCATCCTACCCGGGGCTGTGCCTTTGCAGCCCCGGTATTTTGGCCTCCCTGGCTGATCAATTCCCTCCCTCCTAGTGCACACTTCATTGCATAGTGCACTCTTCACCCAGGTCCCAAAATTCTCACACACACACACACACACACACACACACACACACACGCCTTGGCGTTTAATGCCTGGGAGTAGGTTCCACCCTCCAGAGCTAAGAGGCTCCAGCCCCACCTCCGGCAGAGGCAGCAACTCCTCCACCTCCACCTCCACGGCACTAGGAATTTCGGGCCCATCCGCCCTGGAGCTGGCGTCTCCATGCTGCTGCGGAACCCCAGCTGGGGCCTGGCTCCGCCTGGCTTTCTTCTTTTTTCCTGTGAGCCGGGACAACTTGGACCCTTGTGGAGCCTGGGGTGGATCAGATTCAGCTCTCCCTTCGAACACCTCCATGGACACAGCCACCAGGAGTCTGCCGCGGAACCAAATGCCTTGGCCAAGGCCTTCATTGAGACTCTGAAGTCCATCCCGGAGTCCCCCACTCGGGGGAGAGCCATAAAGGGACACCCAGGTCGGGCCAAAGGTGGGGTTAAACCCCGCTGTGAGGAACAAGAACAGGGCTTCGGAGGGAGCCCGGGGCGGGTGGGTACTAGACTCCTCAGTGCTCCACACCCTTATCTCCTCCGAGTCCTGCGCTGGGGTCGGAGCAGAGGGGAGTCCGTGCGTGCTGGCAGAGAAGTCTACGGCAACAGCTGCGGACGACTGTGGACCCACGCTCGAGGGGCGGAGCCAGAGCCCTGGAGCGGAGCCAGATGGGGCGGGGCGAAGGGCCGAGGGGGCGGGGCTTGCCTCCGCGCGAGTGATCGGCAAGGGCAGGACCGAGGCGGCCGCTGGACAAGCGGCGGTGGCGGGATTCTGTAAAGCTGGGGGTGAGCTCCCTAGTCTGGGGACAGGTGAGGCTCCGCGAGGACCGAGGCAGGACCCTAACGTGCTCACCCGCGCGCCCCGGGTGGGAGATCTGCCTCAGGTCCAGCACGTGCGTGGCGAGGGCCATGTCGGCGAGGGGCGCGTCGTCCCGCAGCTGCAGGCGAAGGCCGCGCGTCAGCGGAGGAAAGAGCTCCACGAAGCTCAGCTGCTCGTTCCACTCGGGCGCCGCCGCCTCGCTGCGCACCGAAGTCTCGCCCTGTGGGAGGCGGAGAAGCCGGGTGGGAGGGGCTGGCGCGGGGCCGGCCAGAGCCTCGGCGGAGCGGGCGCGGGGCCGCCTACCTGCTGCCCCAGGAAGGACACCCGCACGTAGGGGTCCACGAGGACGCGCTGGTCGTGTAGGGCGCGGGCCAGGCTGCCCAGCAGCCCGGGGCGCAGCGCGGGAAGCCCCTCCGCGCGGTAGACGCGCACGCGCAGCTGCGCCCACGGCCTCTCGGCGCGCACCCCGCGGGGCAGGAGCAGGTTCCTGGGGGAGCGGGGCAGGGAGACACCGAGAAGCTTAAGGCCTGGCCGCTCCGCGTCTCCGCGCTTGGAGCCACATCCGTCCCGCTCTCCCTCCCGCCTCACACCCCAGCTCACTTCTCGATGTCCGAGGTGTGCCCTGGGCCAGGGGGTGGCAGTGGAGGGGGAAGGTCCCCGCGCGCCCTCACGGACAAGGTGACTTTGACGAAACCCTTGGTCCCGGCGCGGGTGTCCCGGGGATCATGCAGAGGAGCCCATTTTTGGTAGAAGTGGCCATCTGGGAGTGTGGGAAAGGCCAGGGGTCAGGGAACACCAGCCGGATACACTGGGCGGTCGCAGGCTGGGACCTGAGCGTTGGACAGCGGTTGGGGCGCGTAGAAGGTCAGCCTTCCCAAGAGATGGCATCTGGGCACAAGGGGACCTACAGAGTACACTTCGGGGGCCCTTGTCTGAGCAGATGAGTCTCAATAAGGGAACACTTCGGTACCTGGCTGGTCAAAGACGATGCCCAAGTCCATCCTGAAGGTGCCTATCCGGGTGGCCATAAAGGGAAGGGTCTGCGAGTGGAAAGCCTGGAGGAAAGTGATGTTAGTCCACGAGTTTTGGCATCTAGTTTTTTTCTTCTTCTCTCTCTTTCTCCTTTTCTTTTCTTTTCTTTTTCTTTTTTTTTTTTTTTTTTTTTTTTGAGACAGGGTCTCTCTATGCAGTTCAAGATGGCCCTGAGCTCACTTGGTAGCCCAAACTGGTCTCAAACTTGCAGTGATCCTCCTGCCTCAGCCTCCCAAGTGCTGGGATTACAGGCATGCACCACCACGCCCGGCCTTATTTTTTTTCTCTTTCTTTTCTTTTTTTCAGAATTGGACCCAGGGCCTTCTCACTGAATTACATCGCCAATCTTTTGTTATTATTATTACTATTGTTACCATTATCATTATCATTATTTTATTATTTTGAGACAGGATCTCATAAGTCACCTAGGCTGAGCTTGAATTTGTGATCTTCTTGCCTCGGCCTTCCAGAGTGCTGGGATTGCCCGCGTGAGCCACCACATCCGGGTCCTCCCCCCTTCTCTGATGGAAACCTTCGTGCCCTCCCCTCCTCACCGTGATCTCCAGTAGAAAGTCTTGGAGGCGAAGCCGGGTCTCATGAAATTCGAACAAGAAATACTGGGTTGAAGTGGGAGTGAGAGGTTAGCTGTGAAGGGCCCGTGGCATGTTGGCCCAGCCTCTAGCGAAGAGAAGGTGGTCCTTACAACTCCACCGTGCCTCTTTCCCTCTTTCCCTCAATAAGTCCCGCCCATTCATAGGCCCAGGCCGCGCCCCCTCCGGGTCTTCCCTGGGTGCCTCCCTTTCTCCCAGACTGTTCTCTTGCTGGGTCGCGCCCACCTCGTTATAGAAGGGGCAATTGGTCCCACGTTGTGTGGCAGTAACTCGGCGCTGCTCCCCGACGCGCACAACCACATAGGGGTTAATGTTGACTCCCACCAACTTTTGGGCCTCGAGCACGGTGACTCCCACCTAAGGGGTACAGAAAGGCAAGGACAGGAAGCCAGACCTGCCAGGCTAGAGGGAGGAAAGTGTGCACACAGAGCAAGAGATACAGGAGGAGTAGGGCCTGGAAGGAAAGCAGTACCTGGAAGTCCTGGGCTCTGGACACCTGGTTGTGGTCCCGGTAGGCCAGGCCACGGGCTCGGCTGCAGAAAAGCTTAAGGTCAGCTTTCAGTTCCCCCTTCCCACCAATACACACACACTTGCTTGGCGCTGGAGTGGAGGTCCCCTCTTCCCTCTGAGTCCTTTGGGACTTATCTACATACAGAATATGACTTATTCCTGGAGTCCTGATAATATCCGTACATTCAACAAAAATTTATTGAACACCCACTATGTGCCAGCACTGTTCTAAGCACTGAGACACTGCAAAATTTGCCCTCATCAAGCTTTTATCACCTACCAGTGTTGAGCCAGTGTGACTGACCTTCATCATGGCAGTGTCTATGCCTATGAGTGATTGACCCTTGACCCCAAGATACGCACCCTCCACCCATGCTCTGGGACTGTGTTCGTGAGAGTAGATGGGAGTGGGCTCACATGTGTGAGCAGTGGGGCTGACTCAGTGGCAGGGTGTGGGAGCAGGGCTGGGTGGGTTCTAATTACCTCTTGAGGGGGCTGAACACAACCCCGGAAAGCTCCACATCGGGCTCTTCATCCAGCTCCAGCTCCAACTCCAACTCCAGCTCATTCTCCTCATCATCCTGTGGGCCTAGGCTTCGAGCCAGCCTGCGGCCCAGAGCCACTGCCCTCCGCTCCAAACGGGCCTCCCCAGGCCTGACAGAAAAGGTTCTCACAGGACATGCCTGGGACCTGTCACTCATTTCTGGGCATTTCTCACTTCAGTGACCCTAGTTCTGACCTTTGACCTTTGGCCTGATCCCAGGACACACTAATAACCCGGAGACCCTTCTAATTCCAGAATTCATTCCAATTTCAGAACTGACCTGTGACCCTGGAATTGATTCAGTCCTGATCCCAGACCTTGGAACTAACTCCAGGTCACTGGCTCCCTAAGAGTGACCCTGCTGACCCCAGGTCATCCCCACATACTTACTCCAGCTCCTGGAAGCCCACATTGGAGATGATCAACTCTGAGCTGGGAGGAGGAGAAACAGAGAGGAAAGCCTGACGACAAAGCCGCAAGCCAGCCAGCGCGGATTGCGAATCATTATATCCAGCAGACCGAGTGGGGTGCCACTGTTCCCTTTCCTGGACCTTCCTGGGCTGGGACCACCAGGCTCAGGTTGCAGCGGGGGTTACCTGTCCCGGATGGGTGCCCCAAAGTCCTCCTCTGCCCACACTCCAGCAGCGCCCTCTGGGGGCTGGTACTTCAGGTCAAGCTCCACCTGGATCTGAAGCCAGATACGTGTGCCTTAGAGCCCCTCAAAGTGCTGGGGCTTTGGGCTGGGGATGTGGCTCCGTGGTAGAGGATCCTCAACACCAGGTACAAAAAAAAAAAAAAAAAAGTGCTGGGGCCAGAAGAGCCCAAAGGACAATGGCTTTTTTTTTTTTTTTTTAAGGACATTGGCTTTTACTCCACCTGCAGACACCCTCCTTGCCTGCGTCTGTGGTAGTGTATGATTCTTCTCTGATGATCATTAATGTTAACTATTCATAACTTTGTTAAGAATTTAATGTGCAAATTGCCTCAAAGCGGCCAATCCCTTACTGTGGGCTTCACAGCTCTGCATAGCATGGTCCCTGCCAACCTTTCCAGTTCCATCTCATTCCAGCTTCCAGGTTGTACTCCTGCTCTGCACCCTGCCTGTGCTCCCTCGGGGCACTGGGCTTTTGCATAATCTGTTTCTTCTGCCTAGAACATTCTTGGTCTTTCTCAGCGCTTATAATGCTTCAGGTCCAAGCTCGCACACTACTTCCTCGGGAAAACCTTTTGCGACCCCTGCTAGATCGCAGAGTGCTGTTAGATGCTGTTTCAGCCCTTTGCCAGCTCTTTTGTAACACCCAGTAGCTGCAATTTTACATTTTTGTGTGTGTGAATATTGGCTTCATGTTTGTCCCACTGTTTAGCTGGGGAGTTCCAAGAGGGCAAATCCTTATCGGGTTCCGCTCACCAGTGAATCCCCAGTACTCTGCACTGTAATGGGTTTATTATCTAGGTGCTTACCCACACACTTACAGATTGAATGACAAACTCAACACTTCTTATGACTCCACATTATGTAAGTGAGGAGACAACTTAGAGATGCTAAATAACTTATCCAGCTTCTTAGATGGAAAGTAGTAGATCTGAGAATGAAGTTCCACTTCTATATGAACTTCTGTGAAACACCAGGAAAATCCAACCAGGTTCATCTTGGGAGCTCCTTATCTCCCCGCTGCCACACCCCACGGGCCCCATGCTGAACTGGCTTTAGCCCATATAGCACTCAAGCAGGGGCTGCAGTGAGCAGAGCGCTGGCTGGAGGACCTTGTTAGGTAGGTTCTTGAGTTTTCCCCTAGGTTGAACGGAACCCTCTATTTACAGGGAGTCTGGCCCGGAGAAGACAAGCGGATGACTGCTGGGACTCACCGGGGACACTCGAAGTTTCTCATCCACCAGGGCCTCACGAAACACCAAATGCCCAGCACTCTGTAATTGCTGCAGGGAGATCACCAGGGTCCCCAGAAGCCTGAGAGAGTGCAAGAGACCGAACAATGACCCAGGGAAATGGCACCAGCCATCTCAGACCCCTCCTGGACCCCTGACTGCCCCAGGCCCACTCACCTGGGGCTGAACACACGGCTGCAGTTGAACACCTGCACAGACAAACTCTCCCCGGGCAGTGGAGCCCCATAGTGAGGCCAGCGGAACAACTGGGGTTAGGAAAAACCTTGTGACACCCAAAGCTGGGCTGGTCCTGACCCCAGTCCAGAGCCTATTCCTAACCCTAAAATAGAAGCCAATCCTCCAAACCTGGAGCTACTGCTAGGACTGAGCTCTCAAACCTGGAACTGACCCTCCAAGCTGGGATGACTCCAAACCAGGGATGACCTGGAGCTAACTACCAATCAAGAACTAGTCCCCCTCCGTCTTAGAAATCACTTGTTCCAAGCTGATTCTGACTTCTCAAACCTGAGGCCGACTCCACTTCCTAGAACTATACCTTCCCAGTCCCAGGAATGAGTCCCTTATCCCAAGGATGGACCCGAAACAAGACAGACCAGCTTTCCCCACTTAGAAACCAACTATACTGACCTCGCCAACATCTGTTTCTCGACCACAGTGAATTTTCCTTGTTTTCTGGGTAAAGCCTGTTCAGAACTGAAACTAATCAGTTATCAGCTCCTTGTCACCCAAAAAATCATTTGCCTCCCCCGCCGTTGGGGACCATGCCTAATCCCTCACAATTAAAAAAAAAAGTAGAAAATGAGGGAAAGAAGCAGAGGGTCAGGGTTATCAGGTAAAAGAGAAAGACAAGCGGCAGAGATGGCCAGCAATTGGGTTCGAGGTCTAGAGAATTGAAAATCTAGCTCCACAAATCCTTAGAGGACCCTTGGCAGCCTCACCTCGAAAGCTGAGCTTTACTTGTCTGTCGTGGGTGCCCGGCAGCCCTGTTAGTCTCCGAACACACACAGTCAGAGCCATGGTCCCAGTGCCACTGGTTTTCCCTCTGCCCGCTTGCCCTCCTGCCCACCTGAGTTGCCTCTGACTCACTGGACTCACTCAGCAGGTTCAGCAGTCCCTGCCCTATAGTCAAACACATGGGTGGCAGGACTGGGGGTCATGAGTGGAGAGGGAGGGAGGACAGAGAGGGAGGGATAACGTACCTGTGGCCCAACTCAGGCCTCCCATCATGATAGGATACCTCAGCCTTCATCCTTCCTCACGGGCTAGGACCTGGGGTAGGGTGGGAATGAGAGGACAAGACCCCAGTCTGGTATCTGCTAGCCTATGAGGCCTCAAGGGCATAGAGGTCACATTGTTTCTTGCTCATTTCTGTCCACAACTCAGGGTGCGGCACATGGTAAAAGCTCAAAACACTGGATGGGTAATTGAGTGGATTAACAAATAAATTTCTTAGCCCGTGCATTAATGCTGTAAGTATTTAATGTATTTATTGAATTAACATGAATGATCCATAGCCTACATATAGTAGTTGTTCCATTTGCTTATTTGTCTTTTCATTTATTTATTTATGTATTTATTTTGGTCTTTTTGAAATGGGGTTTCACTATTCAGTTCAGGTTGGCCTCAGACTCACTTTGTAGCCCAGGCTGGCCTTGAACTCACAGCAATCCTCCTGCCTCAGCCTCCTGAGTGCAGGGATTACAGGCATGTACCAACACACCCGGCTTTGTCTTTTTATTTTATTTAGACAGGATCTTGCTATGTAATTAAGGCTGGCCTTGAACTCACTATGTAGCCCAGCTTGGCCTTGAACTCATGATGTTTCTCCTGCCTCAGCCTCCCAGGAGCTGGGGTCACAGGTGTGTGCTGCCACTGCCAGCTGTTCCATATGATTTTTTTTTTTTTTTTTTTTGGTTTTTCTCCGGTACCGGGAACCGAACTCACGACCTTGCGCTTGCCAGGCAGGCGCTTTTGCCGCTGAGCTAAATCCCCAGCCCTCCATATGCTTTTTAACCAGAAGCTAAAGGTCCTTAACTTGGGTTCCTAGGACAATAGTAGGACCAAAGATGGCCTCCAGGGAGTCTGCAAACTTTTGAACTAATCTGTAAAATATTAAGGATATGTGTATTTTTCTGGATATAAATTTCCTTGAATAAATTATTACCCTTAACAGATGTGAAATAATTGTGCTCACGAAAGAATGAGTGTTGCAGCCTGAAACTGTGTGTTGAATGAATTTCCTTAGCCACTCACTTATTATTCTATTTAATGTACTTCCTATGCGCAGGGCTTGTGCTAACCCCTTCTGGGAAGGAATTCAGCTACAGAGAGGTAAATCAGATGTGCTCTCTGTTTCCCAGTACTTTCAAGGACTCCAGTTGCTAACATGGCCAAGAAATGCCATCCCACAATCACCATCACAGTAGGCAAAGGCCAGGGCTAGTAATGTCTGAGGAAGGAGGTTAGAGGGGCTTTCCTGAAAAAAGGATTATTTATTTTTATTTATTTATTTATTTTGTCTCTTTTTTTTTTTTTTTTTTGAGACAGGGTCTTGCTATGCAGTTCAGGCTGGCCTTGAGCTCACTTTGTAGCCCAGGCTGGCCTCAAACTTGCAACAATCCTTCTGCCTCAGCCTCCCGAGTGCTGGGGTTACAGGCACGCACCACCACACCTGGCCTAAAAGGTGTATTTAAAATGGGTTTTGAAGACAGGAGTTGGGAGCAGAGCCAGGCAGCCAGGCAGTAGAGAGGAATGTGGGGTGTGTTCTGGGACAGGTGATTTGTTCAGTTTGGCCTGAATACAAGGAACATAAAAGGCAGCAGCAGCAGATAAGATTAGATCGTCAGAGGAGCGGGGTCTTGTGTGGCTTTGAGCTGGCTGTGGTTCCTTCCCGTGCTGCAGCATTTCCATCCCAGTTCTGGGGTTGGAAAGTTCCATTCTCTTTCTCAGCTATTAGATGTTCAAATGAGTCTGAAGGTCTATAAAATACCAAAGGGAAATGGGTTATTTTCTTTCTAAGCAAAGTCCAAGCTAGACTCAAGGCCTTTGATGTTGAAGGAGGGTTTCACTTCTCCTTCTTTGACAGACAGAGACACTGGGACCCAAAGGAGTTCTTGGTCTGTGCCAGTTAATCTTAATTGTCAGCTTGACTGGGTTAAGAACCTTCTGGAGAAATGATAGATCATCGGGCAGCATACCCATCAGTGGATTAATCTTACCCAGCAACATACTGATGTCACCTCTCTGGAGCCTGGCACGGGTATTTCCCCTCTGGGCTGGAACAAAGTTTAACAGGTTGTTGCTGCCTCAACTCCTCTAAGAATTACCACTTCAACTTCTTAATATTCTAAAGAAGGTGTAATGTGACAGGTGATAAGAAGAGTATTGGTCTGGAGGGCAGGGTTTAGGCATTCTAATTTGTCCTGTCATGCATTTAAGCAGTCTCTGGTGAGTCCTTTGCCCTCTGCACGGTTTGCCTTGCTGTGTAATTTGCGTGAGACATACTATCTTACTTTAAAGTGTGGGCATAAATGAGGATCCTGCATACAGTTGTTTAAAATGCACATTCCTAGCCAGGTCCTCACACTTAAACTCGCAGCTGCTTAGGACAGTGAGGCAGGAGGACCAAAAGTTCAAGTTTAGCCTGGGCAACTTAGTGAGACCCTGTCTCAAAAAAGAGAGAGTGAGCGCTCCCTTTGGCAGCGGAGAGAGAAAGACAGAGACAGAGAGGAGCTGGAGCCTGGCACCATGGTACATTCCTGGTACCCGCCTGTAATCCACACACACATGGAAGGTTGAAGAAGGATGACTGTAAGTTTGTGGCCAGCCTAAGTTACATAGTGAGTTCAAGGCCAGGTGAAATACATAGCAAGACCCTACCTCAAACAAACAAATAGGGGCTGGGGATTTAGCTCAGCGGCAAAGTGCCTGCCTGGCAAGCGCAAGGTCGTGAGTTCGGTTCCCGATACCGGAGAAAAACCAAAAAAAAAAAAAAAAAAAAAAATCAAACAAACAAATAAAAATAACAACAACAAAAAAGAGCTGTGGATGTAGTTTAGTGGTAAAGTGCACATGGTTTCTATCCTCAGTACAGCAAAATAATAAAACCACATTCTTAGCCCCATCCCAGAGAAGCTGAGGTATAATCTCAAGGAGTACCTGGGAACCTGAATTTCCATAAAGTACACTAGTGTTGTATATAGCAGAAGTTGGGGAAACTCTGGTTTCCCAGCATGGCTATCCGTGATTCCTCATTCCTTTCTCCAGGGCTCAGGTATGTGGGCTTGGGTATGGTGACTGATGGATACTGAATTCTTGTGCAGAACATGTTTCTGGGGGAAGGACCACAGAGCCTGAGGTCAGAGTTCTCTGGTCTGATGACTGGGATTGCAGCAGAACACCACCCCACCCACCCTACCCCCACCCCCCGCGCAGCGCCAGTATACTTCAGTTTGTTAGTTGCCCAGGTAACAGTTCCTATTCCAGATCCAGTTGCTCCTGTGTCTCGGAAACATTTGGTCACTGTGATGCATAGCTGGTCACTATGATGCACATTGTATATCCAATCCCCAATTGACAAGTCATTCTGCCTCTGTACTTCCTGCTTGCTTACCCAATATAAGCCCTAGACCACCAGAGATCAGGGCCTGATATTCCGTGAATGACCCCAATCATTGCCCATCGATGTAAATAAATCTGCCTCCAAATCCTGGGTGTCGTTTCAGTGTTTCTGCTTGCCATTCCAGGATTACAAAGAGGACAAAAGGATTTTCAGAGCAAAGCAGACAATATTTATTAAGAAGTGCCCTGGGTATGCTCTACTCCTTAATCATTCCTTTGCAAATATTTGAGCACCTACTACAGGCAAGGACTTTCAATGTGTTAGAGGATATAGAAGTGAACAAAAACAACAAAAACCACCACTCTCAAACTATGTTTTAGTGGCCATGACAAGCAAAAATAAAATAAGTCAAATATATAGCATGTTAGTGTGGAGAGCAGAGGAGAAGCTGGACACGGCGGCATGCACCTGTAATGCCAGCTACTCGCTACTCTGGAGGCTGAGGTAGGAGAAGTGCAAGTGCCAGGGAGCCTTGATAATTTAGTGAGATCCTGTTCTCAAAATTTAAAAAAAAAAAATTAAAAGGGCTGGGTGTATGGCTGAGTGGTAGAGCGAACTGAGTTCAATCCCCAGTAATACATGCACACACACACACACACACACACACACACACACACACACACTGAGCAGGGAAGGGGACACAAATCCGTTTACTTTGCAGTTTCAGACAGAGTCTTATGGGAAGTTCTCTGAGGTCACTGCTCCATTAAACGTCAGCTTAAACGTCAGAGCCCAGATTGCCTAGGCGCCCACGGCTCCCAATGATGTCACGACTAGCTCTGTGACGTCAGGTCTCCTTTGTGACGAGGGTGCAGACAGGAAGGGAAGGCTGAGTCTGGCCACGCGGCCCTAGGGTTCAAGTTGGGTCGGTGGGGCACCCGCGGGGCGCAGCAGCTGGGAAGGGCCGAGGGCCGAGGGCCTGCACGGCTGCGGGGCGACTGGGGCGTCCGTGAGGGGCGTCTGTAGATCAGGATGCGGCGGAGCACCCGCTCTGGCTCAGTCGCGTCCTCGGACGAGCACATGCCCAACTTCTACAGTGAGAACAGCAACAGCTCAGACAGCGTCCCTTCGGGGGACTGCTGCGGGCGCCGGTCTCCTGGGCCGGGGCCGGGGGAGCCCCAGGGCAGAAGGGCCCGGGGCGCGAGCTGCGGTGAGCCCACCTTGCGCCCAGGACTGCCTGGAGGAACCCCATGGGCTGGAAGCTCTCCGCAGGAGCCTGCGCCTCGGAACCACAACCGGGAGACCGCGAGAGGCGCGGCAACCGTGAGGGGCGGGGCCTCGGGTGCGGGCGGGGTCGAACCCTGGGCGCCGAGGGAGGGGGCGGGGTCTGGGTGGAAACGGGATAAGATTTGGTCCAGGTGCCTTTTGGGAAGGCTTTTATTTTTTTATTTTTTTATTTTTTTTGGTTTTTCTCTGGTACCGGGAACCGAACTCACGACCTTGCGCTTGCCAGGCAGGCGCTTTTGCCGCTGAGCTAAATCCCCAGCCCTGGGAAGGCTTTTAATAAGATCCCTTAGGGGGCGGTGCCTCGATGTGATGGACGACTCTGAGGAGGGGCGGGGAAGCCCTGTGATTGGGCGCTGTAGAGGAGGTCCTCTCTGTGGACATGATTGGCTACCTGGAAAGAGGGCTGCACCAACTGGGGGCGGGGTATCTTTTGGAGGTGGAGCCAATTCCTGACCAGGCCCCGCCCAGTCCAGGCGGGCGGGACCAAAGCCAAAAGGGGTTCCCTCCTCTGTGGGCTGGGGAACTTGGGGCCGGGCTTCCGGGGATGGGGGGAAAGTGGGTCTGAGGTGCACAAGGCCCCAGTGGAGCCCATGGGCTCCGGAGGACCGGCTGC